ACTTTCAGTGACAGACATGGCTCATTCACATGACTTGGAAGGGTAAACTGATCACTGGGTACAGAGATTCTTCCCACTCAGATCCTGTTAACATTACAAGCTAAGAACATGGACAAGTTTGCCAGACAGTGCTTTCAATGACAAGATATGTGGTTGTTGCTGGTTTGGTCCAACAGTGACCAAACTCACATTCTGGGTCCTTAAACTTTGGTTCTTATGCCTAATATCCTAAGACGGTGCATCCCATTGGGGAGTGCACATCCATTCCAAGCACAGGTAAATTTCCATGTGTATATGGCATAAATATGTGGAAATCTTGCTGCTTTGATATTCTTAAGCATTGTGATGAGTTTTCACGTGTCACTCAACTGACCACAACAAATAATAATAATCCTTGTATTTGATATAGCGCTTTTCACGTCTTCTCGATGTCTCAAAGCGCTTCACAGAATAGACTGTAAAGTGAATTGACTGTATATTTGTGGGCGAAACGTGGCAGCCAATTGCGCACAGCAGTGTCCCACAAACAGTCGTGGATTGAAAATGAACTATTTATTATTCTTTTTGTTTATGGAGGGATTATTATTAGGCGTGTGGAGTAAGGAAACTTGCCCAGTTTCGCCCTGCCTGGAATTGAACCCAAGTGTCTCGCTTGCAAAGCAAGTGCTCTAACCACTGTGCTACAGGACTCCACCCACTGAGCTACAGGACTAGATACGGGCTTCTTTTTAGCAGTGATGGAGGGAAATAGCTGTCATTAATGCTGCAGCAGTCACCAGCTTCTTTCTGTTGTCTGGTTACAGCCGTGTGGCCAACGCAACCAAATCTTGTTCAGGTGTAACTGGAGGAATCCTGCCACTGGATGCTAACAGCAGCCTCTCAGCGCTAAGGTGTAACTTGCTTCATTCATTTTAATTCTTCCTCTTAATTGCAAATTCTTCTGTTTACTGCAGGCACTGTCAAAATCCCACAACCAAGTGTCGTGTTCACATAGCTAAATGTGAAAACAAAATGTGAACATGGAGTCCTGTAGCTCAGTGGTTAGAGCACTCGCCTCACAAGCGAGAGACCTGGGTTCAATTCCTGGCAGGACGAAACCTTGAGCAAGTTTCTTTACTCCACACGCTTGATAATAATCCCTCAAGAAAAAAACATTAATAATTTGGTCACTCAATCCACGACGTCTTTGAGACGTCTAGAAGACATGATAAGGCGCTATATCAAATTCAAGGATTACTATTATTATTGTAACTGGCTTCCTTGAGTTTTATGAGCCAGTGCTCCAAGACTCTACAAGTTGTAGTGCTCAAGAAGGACAGTGTCTTCAAAGTATGGATACATTCATGAAAATATATTCAGCAAATGCTGAATAAGGACACGAGAAAACAACGCTCAATTAAACATCGGCATGATTTTTTTTCCACAGTAGGCCTTTTAAGGTGAATATTGAATGCTGGGCAATACTTGTGATGAACTAGTCTCCCAGAGTGTTAAATCATTCAAAATATGGTCAGCCCCTTTACAATCCAGCAACCCAGAAGTAGAATGAAGAAAGGGTAGGCTTGGTGAATTGGGGGGTGAGAAGGATTTCTGTTTCTTAAGTCAAGGAAATAGAATGTAGCAATAAATACTAGAACATACAGATCTTTTATTTATGTGGGAAATGTAAAATACCTGATACACTGTAACGCATACAAATGGGGATATTTGATCTCTACAGAATTATTCTTAGTTTCTTTACTGCCCAAAATAACAAACAAGCACAATCCTTAGAGGCAGTGTCTTCATAAACTGAGGTTCATCCAAGACTTCCTTGAAAGAGTTTTAAAGTTCAAGAGGTTGTCTTAGAGTTACTGTTTTAAGGAGTTTAAGTTTAAATTTGCTTCTTAGAACACGGTTATAGCATTATAATTTATAGATATTGGGTGAAAATTTCAACTTAACAAGATTAATCTTTACACTGGATGTTGAGCAAAGGAAGTTGCAGCATATCTAGAGGGAAAAAAGGTCTATCTCTCTGACCTTTCTGTTGTCCAGGAAAGTTAATTACTGTACAACTTTTTGTCTGTCTTCTACCTTCAGATAGGTCTTGTTGTCCCTACTCATCTTCTCCAGTCCAGAAAGATTTGTAGGTCTCCCTTCCTGTCTCGGTCTGCAGTGATCAATTGCTCTCTCTCATTTTACTCTGGAAAGGTCTGACTCTTTATAGTAATAATCCTTGCATTTGATACAGTACCTTATCAATTTGGTGAGATGTCTTAAAGCGCTTCATGGAATATACTGTAAAGTGAATTGACTGTATGTTTTGTGGATGAAACATGGCAGCCAATTGCACAGAGCAGTGTGCCACAAATAGTTGTGGATTGAGTGACCAAATTATTTCTTTATTTATTGATTGATTTGATTCTCTGCCTCCACCCTTGATTCCAGGACCACTGCTGTCCTCACAGATTGCCTGTCGAACATCATCTAACTTCCTGCAGTTGAATGTCCAACAAGACCAAGGGCATTGGTGGATGGATGCACACTACATCTCACATAGCCCATATGGAACTTCGGGGTCCTGTTTGACCCTCAAGTGTTCTCCATACCCCACATCCATATCATGACCTGCTCCGCCTTTCCCCACCTCTGCATCACTGTCTCACACCGCAGGCTGCCAAGTCCCTCATACATGCATTCATAACATCCAGGCTTGACCACGCAAACTCACTGCTTGTCGAACTGTCCTACTCCTCCCTCCATAGGCTGCAGACCATCCAGAACTCTGTGCCCGTGTCCTCTCCCTCATCAAGCTCCGTGACCCCATCTCCCCCACTCTCACCCGACTCCAATTGCTCCCTATCTTTCAGAGGATCCAGTTCAAGATCCTGGTCCTCACATACAAACCCCTCCATGGCCTCGCCCCACCCTACCTCTGCGACCTCCTAACCCCCTACCAACCCGCCCGTTCCCTCCGCTCAGCCGGCTCTGACCTGTTCCACATCTCCTGACCCACCCGCCCCACCATTGGCGGGAGAGCCTTCAGCCATTCTGCCCCCAACCTCTAGAATTCCATCCCCAGTCACTCTGCCTCACCCCCTCCTTAGCCTCCTTCAAGTCCCGCCTCAAGACCCTCCTCTTCGACCAGGCCATCGGCCACCCCCCCTCCCCTCCTCTCCCTTCTCCCCCCAGCTCGGGTCTGAAATGCTGCACACTGTCCAGTGCCTTGGGACGTCCTCCCGACATGAAAGCCGCTATACAAATGTAACCTTGTTGTTGTTGCTCTCCCCTACCTCCGCGACATCCTGACCCCCTACCATCCTGCCCGCTCCCTCTGCTCAGCGGGTTCTAGCCTCCTTCATGTGCCCCGCCTCACCCGCCCCTCCATTGGCGGGCAGGCCCTCTGCTACTCTGCCCCCACCCTCTGGAACTCCATCCCACAGTCCCTCCTCCCCGCCCCCCTCTCTTACCTCCTTCAAGACCCGTCTCAAGACCTTCGGTCACCCTCCTTTCCCCACTTGCCCTCACTGGTTGCACACTGATTGTCCAGCCCTTTGGGACGTCCTCTCGACGCGAAAGGCGCTACAAAAATGTCATTGGGTTTGTTTGTTTGTTGTTGTTGTTATTGAAGGGATTATTCCTCTCAGAAAGTGATCCGCCAATCGACTGACACCCGGGGCCTCCTACTCACTGCTTGGTAAACAGAGGTGTGAGGAGTAAGGAAACTCGCCCAAGGTTTGCCCCGCCCGGGAATCGAATCGGGGTCCTGGCGCTTGCGAGACGACGTTTCTACAGTCCAGGAAAGGCAATTACTTCTTGTATTACTTCTGTCTGTCGTGTCCTGGCTTTCCCCTCTTTGTCTTTTCCATTCTCGTCCCACGGAGTCCTGTAGCTCAGTGGTTAGAGCACTCGCTTTGCAAGTGAGAGACCTGAGTTCAATTCCCGGCAGAGGGCGAAACCTTGGGCAAGTTTCCTTACTCCACACAGAGCCTAATAATAATCCCTCCAAAACCAAAACAATAATAAATTGGTCATTTTCAATCTACGACTGTTTGTGGGACATTGCTGTGCGCAATTGGCTGCCGCGTTCGCCCACAAATACACAGTCAATTCACATTACAGTGTGTTCTGTGAAGCGCTTTGGGACGTCCTCCCGACGTGAAAAGCGCGATATCAAACGCAAAGGATTATTATTATTCTGGAGAGTTCCTCAACTGCCCTCCTCGGACTATCTCCGGAAAAGTTTTTTTCTTTCGCTTCTCTGACTCAATCCGCTCAGACCAGACCAGACCGGGCCCCGGGGTTCGCTGCGCGGCGCGGCTCGGCGCGAAGCCAAGCGCATGCGCAGCTGCCCGCAACGGCGCTCCCGCGGCCGTTCGTTCGTCCTGCGCTTGCGCGGCCGCCCGCCCCGCCCCGCCCGCCACCAACTGCCGCGCCACGCGCGCTGCGTGCGAATGGGCGGGAAGCGGGCGCGGGAGGTTCTCGAAGTTTCTGCGGGCCGATGCCAGTCTCCTCACGAGGGGGTGGGGGGGGGAGAAGGGGGTCCTGACAGTCGTGGTGCTTTGCTACCTGCTGGTCCCCTGCGCTTAAGTTTATATTTATGATTGGCTCCTCTCGCCGTCAAATACAATCCGCTCTAATCGCCCCTAAAGTTTCCCGCGCGGATACTGCAGGGCCGAGATCACACCTCCAGCAGTTAGCGCGTGTGGCCGGTCCTCCCTCTGCTCTCCTCCCCTCCCCTTCCCTCCTCCCGCCATCGTCTATTGGCGCTGCTGTTCGCTTTGCTCTCCTCGCTTCTGCGTTGGACGCTTAAATAAACCCGGGGGCCGGTCTGTGCGGGTGGTGGTGGTGGAGTTTTTTTGGGGGGGCGGGGGGGGCGAAAGTAAAAAAAGGGAAAATGTTGGGAGGCAGGGAGGGGGTCACGGAAGGGGAGGGGGTCACGGAAGGGGGTGGGGGCGAAAAAAAACTTTAAGGTCTTATTTAAGAAGACCTGACTTTGCAGCTCGAGGAGGAGAATCGCGTGTCGGCGCTCTCACTCCACTTAAACGGCCAATCCATCAAGAGTTCATTTCCAGCAGCTCCCGAGCCCAGCGGGTAGAGAGGATCGCTCGATGGGGATATTAAAACACCCGCAAGTAAGAATTCAAACATCCAGACAACATGACCCTCATCAAATATTCCTTTTTCCGTGTGAAACGAAGAAAGGTCACGTCCTCCCGGTTCCCGCTGTGCGCTCCGAGAGAGAGGGGTCGCGGGTGTGTGAGGTGGTTTTCCTGCAACGATAGGTTGAAAGAGCGCAATAAAGGGGTCGAGGTCTGTGCCCACCGGGTATCTTGTCTTCGAGACCTTTCAGCAAATCTCAACTAAACTTCTGAATTGCAACTTTTTTTTTCTCTCTCTCTCTCTCTCTCTCAGCAAGCGATCCAATCCTACACAACCGAACACGTCGCCGTGTGTTTCGGACAGCACGCGGCCGTCACACGGCGCGACTGCCGGAAAACCCGCTTCTCTGCCATCCACAGCTACTTTGACTACACGACCATAATCGGCAATTGGCTGACAGGTAAGAAAAAAAATCCACCAAGTTTCTTCCCTTGAGGGAAACTGAGGCGAAAGAGAGAAAGGGGCGATAAAGAAACCTTTTGTGTCAGAGGCGCCGGCGAGTTCGTAACGTGTGCCCACCCCCACCCCCAAAAAAAAACGGCAAAAGTTATCTGTTCTTCCAAACCAAACCAATCAAGACTCCTTTTGCAAGTCAAGAGCTTGATCAGCACATGCAGTGCTTAAAGTGCGTGAAATAACAGCTAGCAAAATAAGTTTTGCTGGAGCTAATCGTGGTTACTTATACCTATCATATTTTTCGGTGGAATAGCACAGGTTGTCCAGTCATCTCGCAAAATGAGAAGTGCGCTTTTTCAAATGACTTTGCAGTTCAATGTAAGAGCCTTGGAAAATTGTATATCTATTGAAGGGCTCCTTTGCAGTTCGGGAAGGGCGTGCTGTGTAAGAGCATTGCAATCCACAATGGCAAACCAAAGTGTTAATGTATAATTCTACCGTACTAAATCTCCTATATTTCTATTGATGTCGTTGCCAAATAACTGTCTAATTCCATCTTGAATTTACTGACACATTCTTAACTCCACCAACTTCAGAGGTAGATAATTCCACATATTCATCTCTATTCTGTGTGTAAAATAATTAAACCAAAACTGTTTATTTACCCTTTTCGGAGCTTGAGTTCCTGTTCTGTTCCTTGTACATGTGCTGGCATAGTTCTGCTGGGCATGCACGTATTGTGTTAAGAACCTTTTTAGCTGTAAGGTTGAGTGGGTGTTCAAAGTAATTTCCCAAATTTCGCAAACTCTGAAATTATGTTAATAGAATAAATCTAGACCCTGATGGAATTTCTACTGATGTGTTAATATACCACCCAGACTTGAAACATACAAATGGATATGAACCCCACCCCCCGATAGGGATGTTCTCCTATGAAGCCCCCATCTCACCAGTTCTGGCTCCCCATCACCGAACGGATCGGTTTCAAGATCCTCGCGTTTGTGTTCAAATCCATTCACTCCCTGGTACCTCCCTACCTCTCTGACCTTCTCACTCCCCAATCCACCACTTGGTGCCTCCATTCGACTGGCACCAGCCTCCTGCTCCTCCCTTGCACCCTCCGCTCCACCATTGGAGGTCGAGCTTTAAGTCACTATGCCCCAAAACTGTGGAACACTCTCCCTCAATCCTGCCGCCTTGCCCCCTCTCTCCCCTTTTTCAAGTCCTCATGAAAACCTTCCTTTTCATCCCCCCCGCCCCACAGCTCGGAGTCAGACTCTGCCACTGTGAAGTGCTTTGAGATGCTACCCTGGGTGGAGGGCGCTATATAAGTCCAAATTGTTGTTGTTGTTGGATATTGTGACTGCCAATCAGATAAATGATGGCCAAGGTTACTGGTTGCATATACTCTTCTGATGATTTTCACTTTCCACAAGTAATTGGCAGACGTCATAAAGGTATCCACCTTAACTGGGTTAAAAATTCAAATGCAAGTTTGAAGAAGACAGCATTGAATGACTTGAAAATAAATTGAGCAAATTGAAATTGAGCTATAAAGTATTCTAGAACCTAGGCATGTAGAAAATATGATTCTATGAAGAAAGTGTGGAATGCTACATTTCTCTCTAGTGGGAGAAAGTGTCAGAAAGAAGGTACACAATTATTTGGAGTGAAATTTAAAGGATGAGCTATAGGTCTTTCTGGAACGGTTAGTGAGATGTATACACCTTGTATGTGTCGGTCTGGTTCAGTTGGTAGCACTCTTGCCTCAGGCTGTGGGTTCAAACCCCACATTGGTACTTTGAATTCACAGACCAGGCTGACAGTCCAATAAAGTGTTGGGCAAGTGCTACATTGTTTGAGGTAGTAATAATTCTTGCATTTAATATAGTGACATAACATCATCAGACCTTTTCACAGCTTTCACAGGATTTACTATAAAGGGTAGTGACTGTGTATATTTATTTGTAAGAGGATGCGGTAGCCAATTTTGGGTTCAGCGCAATGTTCAATGAACAACCATGATATGAATGAGCAATTTTGTCTGCGGGATTGTTTGCCAGGACACAAGGAGAAACTCCTTTCTCTATTCGAGTAGTGCTGTGGGATCCTTCATCCACCTGAATAGGAACGTGGAAATTCGATTTATCAAAAAGATTTCGCCCACAAAGTACACAGTCACTCCACTTTACAGTATATTTTGTGAAGTGCTTTGAGACGTCTGTACAACCTGATAAGGCATTACATCAAATACAAGGATTATTATTATATTATTAACATCTCATTCAAAGCACAGCACCTCCACCAATGCAGCGTTCTCCCAGCAATGCACTGGAGTATCAGCCTAGACTATGAAGTAAAAGTAACTGTTCCTGCAGAGGTTGATAGGGAAAGAAGGCACATGGCCTGCCAATGGCACCGTAATCGGCCACTCGATCCCAACCCAAAAGTCACCTTGAAGAATCCTCAACAGAAGGAGCTTCCAGGAAAATAACAGAGCATACATTGGCTGTGCCTGCCAATGGATTATGCAAGGGAGCTGTCAGACTTCATAGAGCTGGTTTTGATTCAAGTGGAATACAGTGAGGTCACTATGCCTCAAATTAACAATAGCCCACAACTTCTACTCCACAGGTTCCTTCCAAGTCCAGGGGAAACTTGGATGTCTTATAATTATTTCCACTTCTAATTCAGTAATAATCATCTGATGATGCTTCATCCAATTGATTTGGGCCATATATCTTCTTTTTGACATTCTAATTTAATTTGCTTTCTTTCATTCATAAATATGTACATTCTACATCCTCCTTTCATTCTCTAGGTGCCTCATTGTCCCAGTTTAGGTCTTTTATAATTGTTAAATAACTTTGACAGTGTTCTGTTCACTTGAGTTGGAAGGTTTTGGGTTCCAGCACCATGTTGGTCCAAAGTTTACTGGAACACTGGATAGTAATTAGAGGCCATTAATATCTCATGGTCTTAGCCTCATCTTAAAAATATGATTGTTAGAAGATTGGAAAACTTGTAGATTTAAGATTAATTTTGAAGCTCTTTTGAAAAATGAGTTCAAAACTAAGACAATTCTAAGAATTTTCTAAATGTACAATACTAAATTTTAAAATGTTATAATGGTCTTAACTCTAAGTCCATGATGTTGTTTGGCCTCAGGTGTGTGAAATTCTTATTGTCTTTGATACATCAGTCTATGCCTGATGTTTCATGCGTATCCCAGATACAATAAGAACAATTTGATTGCCAATTTGGATGTCCTAGTTGAATTCAGATAACTGAGCTTATTTAGTGAATCAAATCTGGAACCAACTGGGTTTAAATTGCTCAGTAGATAATGCTTTTACCAACTGATCAATCAAAGGAACCATGCACAAGGCAAATATTAGAGGTATCAAAGTCATTGCCTGTGAAACATACATAAAGGATAGTCTACTAATTATTTTCCCTTCTGAAAACTTTACAGACCAAAACATTGGCATTCAATTTATTGCCTGGATTTTGCGAGGAGCTGCTCAGGTGATGTTTGTCAATAATCCGTTAAGTGGAATTATTATTTTTGCTGGGCTGATTTATCAGAATCCATGGTTGGCACTGAATGGCTTGGTGGGGACAGTGACTACAACGTTAACAGCACTTATTCTAAGTCAAAATAGGTAAGTACGCTCCAGTAATCTGCATAGGATGTAGAGTTCTAAGATCTGAGGAAAAGAGTAAACTTGTTCTCATTAGTTTTCATGGTGGAGTCCCGTAGCTTAGTGGTCAGAGCATTCGCCTTTGAGTGGTGAATCAATTATCACTCCTAGAATTCATTCAGCATTCTCCTTGGCAAGTTCTATTCCATCATGGAGTATATGCGTTTCATATTTTTATTTCCTGTATGTAGTTTCTTATAATAATAATAATCCTTGCATTTTATATAGTGCTTTATCATGACATTGAGATGCCATAAACCACTGCCCAGGTGCCCACATCCCAACAACTCTGGATTTAAAAAAAAAAACTCCTACATTCTTCTTTTGCTGTTCTTGTGGCTGTCTTATAACTCTGTCCCCTAGTCACTGACTCCCTATCAATGGAAATAAATTCTCCCTGTTTACCCGTCAAAACCCCTCATAATTTTGTACACCTCTATCAGGTCTTCCCTAAACCTTCTCTACTCCAATGAAAACAGCCTCAGCTTCTCCAATCTCTCGTCATATCTGTAGTCCTTCATCCCAGAATTATTCTCGTACATCTCCTTTGAACCCTTTCCAAGGCCTTAACATCTTTCCTGAAGTGAGATGACCAAAACTGGACGCAGTTGCTAATCACTATACTCTCTAGCTTGGAATCAAATTAGGTTGTAAACTTTGATATTGTACCCCTTAGATCCAAGTCAAGGTCATTGATATATATGGAAAACAGGGAGAGACCCTGCATGTGGCGTGTAGCAGGCTGGATTTAAATAGAGATATTTGGGAGTCATCAAAGACTGTTAATGGAGATTTTTTAATTGGAAGAATAAAAGACATGTAGATTCTTTTAAGATTGTGAATAGAGTGAACTTGATGGAATTAATTATTTTTATTGTTCTATAATTCTTAATGAAGGGTCTGTAGTAGATTTGTGCATCACAAATGTATGCTGCCATAATCAGTAAATTTACCAACCATTTGAGAATGAGATGTCTTTGCATGCTAAAATCAATAAATTTTCTGATCATTGGAAAATCATCCCCACTGTTTTGTACCTGAAAAAACTCTGAAAAAATTTTGTCTCAGCATATTGGGTAATTTTGTGGAAAATTAATTAAAAGTGCAGAATGATCTTATTCAAGACTTCTCCATAACTTTTCAGTACTGCAATTATTAACGGGATTTCTGTGTTTTGAACTGGATTATACTATTTGCAAGGCCAGACTTCCTCTATAACAGCATGTTGAGCTCAAATGTGCTGACCCACTGGGATCACACCAATGTCAGGATGATGCTGTGGAGCATGAAGGGCATGTTTTCACTCTTTCCCTTTCATTCATCCTGTTGTTTTCATTCGATGAAACTACCCACTCCCCACCTGAAAGAAAAAGCAAACACAAAGTATCATTTAAGTGTCTTTGTTAAACATAGATGTCCTTGGTTGGGCTTAATTAGACAAAATCTGTGAATTGAACCCCCACCCAGATCAGGACTTGAGTTCATAGTTTAGGCTGATACTCCAGTGCAATACAAGGATAAGACTGCGTTGTGTGAGGTGCATTCCTTTATTAAATTAGATGTTAAATCAAGATCAAGTGGAGTCCTGTAGCTCAGTGGTTAGAGCACTCGCTTTGCAAGCAAGAGACCTGAGTTCAATTCCAGGCAGAGGGCGAAACGTTGGGCAAGTGTCCTTACTCCACACGCCTAATAATAATCCCTCCAAAAACAAAAAACAATAATAAATTGGTCATTTTCAATCTACGACTGTTTGTGGGACATTGCTGTGCACAATTGGCTGCTGCGTTCGCCCACAAATATACAGTCAATTCACTTTACAGTGTGTTCTGTGAAGCGCTTTGGGACGTCCTCCCGACGTGAAAAGCGCTATATCAAATGCAAGGATTATTATTATTATTATCCCAGTCTGTTTAGGAGGACATTATAATGCCATGATATTACTTCAAAAGAGAAGAGAGCAAATCTTGGTTTCCTGGACTACAATTCTTCAAATTGGTAACCCATCCAGTGAAAATAGCTGTCAAGTTTCCATCTTAAAAAGTCACAACACTTGATTGTGATGACTTGTTCAGCTTTTTGAAACATTTTGGTGTGCTATCATACCATAAACAAGCAATGTTAATAATCTACGCCCTTACTTTCTTTCAGGGCTGCAATTTCAGAAGGGCTCCATGGGTATAATGGCACCCTACTTGGTCTTTTGATTGTCGTGTTTTCTGCTAAAGGAGACTGGTATTGGTGGCTGTTGTTACCTGTGTTTATTGTGTCGATTGCAAGGTATGTTGAGCAAACTGATTTTACAATTTTGTGATTAAGAACCAAAGTAAAGGGCTGGCCCTAGTGCAGAACACACTAACATCAGGAAGAAATATGTTACGTAACACCTATGTTTCAAAATACTCTTCCTAATTATTCTTACATTTGAAGTCAAAAGAAGTTCCAACTTCTAGGACTAGTTGAGCCAAATGGCTTATTTCCATTCTGTAACCACAGTGCTAAGATTAGTACCTGACTTTCTCACCTGCCCAATCCTCTTTGCCTGGAATGTTGAAGTGAGATTACAGACTACATAGATGGATTCTGGAAAATCATAATTTATCATCTAATCTTGTAGCTATAGAACATTTTGAATGATATATTAAATATTTTGGTATGCTGTCCACTGCATATTTTGGGAATACAGTGTTACTATTTGTTTGGATCTTCTAGAAGAATGAGTCTCTTGGCAATGCATTTATTAGGCATGATCTACCTTTCATAATCCAAGTGTTGGCTCGGAAATTGTTTTTACTCTTATTAATTGTGCTTGAACTTAGAATGGAATCCAGTGTTTTTCTTGCTAATAGCATAAAAATAGCTGGTCTATAATTTGCAAGATCATGCAATTAACATTTGGTGGAACAAGATTAGAAAATATTTAATCTTCTGGTGTTGTTCCTTGCGACTTCCCTAATTTTGTATTGTATTGTTCTTGCATTTAATGAGCCACAAAAGATTTCACACAGCTTCCTGATTTCTCTTAACTTCCTTAAAATATTTTTGGATGCATTCCATCGGATCCTGTTGGTTTTCAAATATTGAATTTAAAAAAAAAACGTTTTCCATGACTAACCTTTGTGTTCCATGAATTAAGTTTCCTTACTTCTCAAACTATTGAAAAGAGAAGATCGTATCTTCACTTAATTTGAACCATAGAACCATAGAAATGTACAGTTTAGAAGAAGGATGCTTGACACATTGTGTCAGTGTATTGTCGCGCTGAAGGGATCCCTCTTTGGTTTATAATGACCATGTGCCTATAAGTTTTTCTCAGTTCCTGCAATTTTCCTTTCATTTATTGCTTCATGTCCTGGACTGCCTTGAACTTTTTTTAAAAAACTAATTTTAGCTATTTTCTGATTCTAATTGCCTTCCTTTCCTTAATGCTTTTTCAAAATAGCATTTTAACTATTTAATCTTGCCTTGCCATTTACATTTTAATTCCATGTTGCTTCTCTGGTCCATTGTCATGTAAACAGACTGCCAGCACAAACACTCAATATGTCCAAGCATCAGCACCCAAAGTCTTCATGACCTGCTTGTTGGTAGTAAAAGCTTTTGTTTTACAACCAGTCCTTTCATCTCTGTTGTTACTTAATGATTCCCCCAATCTTTACTAGACATCCTAGAGAACCTGAGATTTCTAACTTTTAAAAACATGTCAATTGAAGCTATCACATGTTTTGGAATTGAGGAATGGTAGGTAAAGGAACTTTGGGAGAACGTTCCAAAGAGCATGAGCATGGTGGTTAAAAATAGTTTTACGGCCAATAGGAGGATGGAGAGGCCTAGGAACATGCATCAATCGAAAATTGAAGAGCAGAGAGGTGGAAGTATGAGAATAGGGCTGGAAGAGATTGCAGAGCTAGGGTGAGCAAGAACCAGACAAATTTGAAGCTGAGGACAAGGATTTTGTAATTGATTTTGCTGGTTAACAGGAGGTCAATGGAACCTGGTGAGGATGTATGTGATGAACCCTGAGAGTCCAGTTTGGAAGAGGATATGGGCTGGTGTTTAGGAAGGTTGGAAGTAGGGAGGCCAGCAAGAAAAGCATTTGAGAAATCTAGTCTCAAAGGACTGAAAGTGTGGATGAGGATTTTGCCTGCACTGGCTCAGTGGCGTTGGAGGACATGTCAAAATGCTTCATTAGATTTACTGCAAAGTGTAGCGACTATGCACTTTGTAGAAAACATGGCAGCCAATTTGCTCACAGTAATGCCCCAGAAACAGCCTTAAAGTGAATGACCATTTTTTTCTGGGGTATGGTTGGCCAGAACACATGGAGAAAATCCCTTCTCTTTTCAAATAACGTCTTAGGATCTTTAACAAACAAGCAGAGCAAGCAGAGGGACATCAGTTTAATGTCTCATCTGAAGGACAGCACCTCCAACAAACATGCTCCCCCAGCAAAGCATTGGAAAATCACCCCAGACTGAACTTAAAGTCTCAACTTGGGGCTTAAAGCTACAACCTTCTGATACAGAGGCAAGAGAGCTACCAATTCAGCTCATGATTTTAAAACAGCTTACATAATGCAAACCTTCTTGCCAGTTTAAATATTGAAAGCCACATACGGAAAGTTTTTTTTTCTATGTTTTGTTGAGAGATTCTGATGCCTAAATTCAGCCTATCACTAGCTTTCAACATGTCTAAAGTGGTTCTCCTCACCAATATTTATTCTTGTGGTAATTTAAATGAATAATGAATAATTTGGATGAATAATGAAAAATACTCAGTTTATCTACGTTACAAGTCTGCTGTAAGTTTGATATTAACTCTGGTTCATTTATAATGAATTCTTCCTTCATTGGCTCTTAAAAGAGCCAGCACAGATGCGATGAGCCAAGTAATAAAGTAATCGAGTAATAAAGCTAAACTTCAGTGAATAAAACACACTGTCTATGAATCAGGCCACAGGGTTTCAGGTTCACATGCCTATGGGTACTAAGTTAGCTGAGGCACCAGTTAGAATGCTACAATCTCAATTTTCCTGAGCTAGGAAAGGGATTCCAGCTGGAAATCACGTGCATGGATGTCAGGTGAGAACTCGAAGAGAATGTGTCCCATTGTCAAGCCAACACTTGCTGTCAAGGGATGCATATTAAGAATGCCCATCAGAGCAAGGTACTTGCACCTGTGGAACACTAAGCCCAAACTATTCCACACCATTAAGAAATGAGGAAGGTAGTAAGATTAACAAAAATCAAAGCGTTCTACTCTGTTAACAGAGAACAAAAGTGATAATTCCATTAAATCCACAATGAAAACAATTTGTTTTACAGTACTATCCTTTCAAGTGCATATGCCTCCATGATGGAAGGAATGGATCTGCCAATTTTCACATTGCCTTTCAATACTCTACTGACTTTGTATCTGGCAGCAACAGGACACTCCAATCCACGTTTTCCTCAGGTTCTCATTCAGCCCTTGACTGTAGCACAAAACATCTCATGGTCAGATCTCAATGTTACACTGGTAAGGAAAATTATATCACACAATTTTTTACGTTGGGCATTCTTTAAGTAGTTTCAAATCAAATACTTAAGATGTTATAGGACCATTGAATCATGATAGTAAAATAAAGTTGTATGTAAATCTAAAATTTGAAATAATTTCACTTTAATTCTGTATTGGTCTTAATTTATTTTTTTCACTCAGTTTTTTCCTCCTTTGCCTCTCCTGAAGATGATAGAGTACAGTTCCATCGAGCCCAGAAGGTCTCAAGTTAGTCACTCAAATGACAAAGTCATGTATAAGCTTAAATAGTGAGCCCTGGCAAACTGTTATATTCTGGAGGGCATCACAATAAAGCCCAATACATTTTGTACTTGTTCCAGGAGTGCTGAGGGATTGAAGAACTGTTGTAAGGCATAACATGATAATGCTCATAATGATTTGCTCATAATGCAGGCGCCTTGTGGTGCCCCTTGTTTGTTTTCAATGAGTTGACCGGCCATTTTCCCATGCACTAAAATAACTGGTCATGTTTTGCTTCATGAGGTCACTGCCAACATTATTTATTGCAAACTATGCACAGGAAGCTTCAACAGCAGGCAGGGAATGACGATTTTGACGTTTTGTAACACAGAAATCTTCATATGCAGTGCAAAAGTAGGAATGTGCAGATTGCAGGAATATTATCTTCCAGCTACATTTCTTCACAAACATGCTTGCATCAATACAAACTTGCATCAGGTTATGCATATGCATCACAGTGAATGACTTTGGAATGTTTTTGTTGAATTGTTGATATAAATCACTGGTGAGACCATACTTAGAGTACAAATATCTCCCACAAATATACAGTCAATTCACTTTACAATCTATTCTGTGAAGTGCTTTTTCACGTCTAGAAGACATGAAAAAGCGCTGTATGAAGAATTATTTTATTATAATAATAATTGCACACAGCAATGTCCCACAAACAGTCGTAGACTGAAAATGATCAATTTATATTGTTTTTGGAGGGGTTATTAGAGTATTATGTACACATCTGGTTGCCACAGTACCAAAAGGATATTGGAGAAATCAAGGAGGGCAACCAAAATGATTGAGGGAATGGAAGGACTGGACTATGAGGAATGACTAAATAAATTGTGCATGTTCACGCTGTGGAGTCCTGCAGCTCAGTGGTTAGAGCACTCGCTTTGCAAGTGAGAGACCTGAGTTCAATTCCAGGCAGAAGGCGAAACCTTGGGCAAGTTTCCTTACTCCACACAGAGCCTAATAATAATCCCTCCAAAACCAAAAACAATAATAAAATTGGTCATCTCCAATCTACGACTGTTTGTGGGACATTGCTGTGCGCAATTGGCTGCCGCGTTCGCCCACTAATATACAGTCAATTCACTTTACAGTGTGTTCTGTGAAGCACTTTGGGACGTCCTCCCGACGTGAAAAGCGCTATATCAAATGCAAGGATTATTATTATAGGTAATTTGGGACATATGCAACCGCCAGGAAGGTGGAAGGCGAACTAGATGGAACTTGGTCTTCTTTCGTCTAGCATTTCTTATGTTCTTATGAATTAATTTTCAAGCAGAGTGTGACTCGAACTTCAGGATGCATGCGCTAAGAACACAACTTACACGTCCAAAACATTCCAAAATGATATCATGCAGGTTGTTGGTGAATACATACAAGAAAAAATTGCATCGAATATAAGTGATTTATCAATCTGTACAGAAAATGAAAAGGAAGCTATCACAACAGTGCTCGTTAGCAGTGAGTGAGGCAAAAAAGATGCTGGGTCGTATTAAAAGGGCATTATTGAGCTGTAATAGTGGGGTAATCCTGCCACTTTATAAATCATTAGTGCGACTGCACTTGGAATTCTGTGTGCAGTTCTGGTCATCACAGTATAAAATAATAATAATAATCCTTGCATTTGATATAGCACTTTTCACATCTTCTAGACGTCTCAAAGCGTTTCACAGAATACACTGCAAAGTGAATCGACTGCGTACCTGTGGGCAAAATGCGGCAGCCAACCGCGCACAGCCGTGTCCCACAAACAGTCACAGACTGAAGTGACCACTTTATCATTGTTTTTTTTCTTGAGGGTTTATTATCAGGCGTATGGAGTAAGGAAACTTGCCCACGGTTTCGCCCTGGCAAAACAGTCTTGTGTTAAAAAATAAACTTCAGCAGTTTGTGCGAATTACTGTAAGTGGAGGTTTCAAATTTAATAAAATAAAAAGGATATTGCAGCAATTGAGAGGATCCAGAGGTGGACAACTAAAAGGATTGAGGGATGGTGGGATTGGACTATGAGGAGTGATTAGTTAAACTCGGCAAACTTTTATTATGGAATTATTGCTGATGACATTATTGACACCTTATTGAATCAATAAATAGTCTCTTTGTATTGGTGATATCTAAGATAGGACAAAGAAGATGTTTTTGCTTTCAGCATTTTAGAGCGCACAAAGGTGGAAACTATCACCAAAGCTGTTCTAGATGTAGAATATTACAGCACAGAAGGAGTCCATTCGGTCCATCGTACCTGTGCCAGGTCTTTGGAAGAGCTACCTAATCAGTCCCACTCCCCCACTCTTTCCCCATATCCTTGCAATTTTTTCCTTTTCAAGTACCTATCCAATTCCCTTTTGAAAGTTGTGATTTAATTTGTTTCCAACACCCTTTCAGGCAGTGCATTCCAGATGGTAACAACTCTGTGTTTAATACAATTTTTTTTAAAAAAATTCTCATCTCCCCTCTGGTTCTTTTCCCAATTATCTTAAATCTATGTCCCATGGTTACCGACCCACCTGCCAATGGAAACAGTTTCTCCCTATCTACTCTATCCAAACACCTCATAATTTTGAACACCTCTATTAAATCTCCCCTTAACTTTCTCTGCTCTTAAGAAGAACAATCCCAGCTTCTCTAGTATCTCCATATAGCTAAAGTCCCCCATCCTTGGTACCTTTCTAGTAATTCTTCTCTACAACTTCCTGAAGTGTGGTGCCCAGAATTAGACACAATCAGTTAAGCTGAGGCTTAACCAGTGACTCATTAACATTTAGCAGGACTTCCTTGCTTTTGTACTCTATGCTTCCATTTATAAAGCCAAGGATCGCATATGCTTTTTTAACAGTTCTATCAATCTATCCTGCCAAAGCTTGTGTACGTGAACCCCCAGGTCTCTGCTCCTGAACCCCGCCCCCCACTCCATCACCCACTGCCTCCACTCAGCTGGCTCCAGCCTCCTATTTATCCCTCTTGTCCTCCGTTCGACAATCAGTGGCTGTGCCCTCAGCCACTATGCCCCCAAACTCTGGAACTCTTTCCTTCAATCCCTCCTCCTTGCTCCCTCCCTCCCCACCTTCAAATCCCGCCTCAACATCTTCCTTTTTGATCATGCTTCAGGTCACTCCCCGCTCCCTCCCGCTGGCTCTTTATCAGACTCCACCACTGTGAAGCGCTCTGAGACGCTACCCTACGTGTAGGGCGCTATATAAATGCAAGTTGTTATATATTGCCTCTCCTCATTCTTCCTCCCAAAATGCATCACTTCACGCTTCTCAGCAATAAACTTTAATGTGGTTAAGAAATCAGGTTCAGATGCAAATAAGATACCGGGCCTGTCATATGACACAATAGCTTCAATGTCCTCAAGCCTAAGTGGGACTTGGCCCCAATGTCATTTATTCCTCTTGCAACTCACACAAGCTCAACCTGGCGATACAGTCTGCATGCAAGGGAGAACACATCCAGCAAGCAATCACTGTCAGAAATCAAGTTATTTTTCAACCATTCACCCAATTGAGAGGTTTTTTCGAGAAAGTCATTGAAAAGCAGTGTTCCAATCAAGGTTCTGATTTAAAAATAACTTAAGTTAATTGATTTTTGTAAATCGAGATTGACAGAAAGGGAAGAATCTTTAACATCCACCTGAACAGGCAGATGGTACCTTGGTTTAATGTCTCATTTGAAGAACTGCACCTCCCACAATGCCACACCCCGCCACGACTACATTAGCGTATCAGCTTAGACAATGTGATTTGAAGTCCCGATGTGGGGCTTGAACCCATAACCTGCTACCACAATAAAAGGCTGACACACAAATCAACCATACTTCAAATCAACAAGCAGACAGCACGGAAGAATACTACAAATGTGCTATTGTAATCCCATTTGTAGATTATGTGCTGCCAGAGCTAAGCATCCAAAGACGAAAGCCTTTCAGCTCATCATATCTGTGCTCGCTCTATTAAAGAACAATCTCTTTTAAAGAGGAGTTACAGTTATGAAGAGAGACCTGAGAAGTTAAGGTTTTTTCTTAGGGTTGAAAGATTAAGTAGTGAGTTGCTAGTGGTCTTCAGGATTATGGTAGAATAAATAGTAAAATAAATAGATTATTGTCACTAGTCGGCATGTCACTAACAAGAGAGTGCAAATTTAAGATAATCACAAAAATAATTAAAGGGCAGTTTAGAAAAAAAATTACAAGATTGACCAGGATGTGTAATTCTCTGTTACAAACTGTTGTTAAAGCAGAGTCCAGTCCGCAAACCTTTTAAAAAGCAATTAGATATATGTTGAAAAAGCAGAATATTAGACGCTATGGGAAGCAGAAAATTGATAATAGATTACGTGGTTCATGTGAAGAAAACATCAGACTGTTGATGGGTAAATAGCCTGTTTCTGTTCTTTAACATCTTGCGATTCTGTGAGGTGGACACCCTGCATCTCACAGGAAGCATTGGCAAATAGTTGCAATCATATCACCTGCAGTCTTCTCAGCCTTAGTCACTGCTTGAGATTGAGAAATGTTGGAGAGGATTTTACACCCTCAAATATTAATGATATTTTAAACAAATTGCTTTGCTTTGTTTTTAAGTAGAGGTTGTAGATATATGTTTTCCATTTATCTTAGATATATAAAAGTAGCAATGTAAGTAAAATCTTCTAATTCATAATTTTGTTGGAAATTTGTACCTTTTTTTTGCATTTCTATTTTTGTGTCATCAAAATTACATTTCAAGAAAAAGTTCAAGAAAGTTGAGAGAGAAACTAAAAAATCAAAAAAGACATTAGAAACTTTTAGTTCTAGCAGTTATGATACTCTGAAGTGCATCTTTAAATCTTATGTTTGTATTACGTGTTTTCAGATTCTTTTTGGTCAACTGGATGTCTAACACATGCAGAAAGACCTTTACACTTTTACATTTCCAAAAATCAAATGATATCTTATTTTTATTCAGCTTCTCAGAGCTATTCCAGTGGGTGTTGGACAGGTGTACGGGTGTGACAATCCCTGGACTGGTGGCATTATAATTTCTGCTTTAGCTATCTCATCTCCATTCCTCTGCCTACACGCTGTAATCGGATCCTGTGTGGGTATACTGGCAGGTAAGATTACAACCTTGCCCACTTTCTTGAAATGTTATTGCAGATATGAAGTACCGTATATGGAAAAGCCTTTATAATGGAGAAGTGTTGATTTATATTTCTGGGAATTGTCTTGGTCAATCTAACACAGCTGTCAATATCCCAATAAATACAATCTTGTACTTGACAGTATCTGCTGAAAGGTTATAATAGAGCTTGGACAGTGTTAGGATGACTATCAGATGACTGACTAATTCTTAAATATAATCCTTACTGTCCAGAGATTTCTAAATTTTTTCTTTGATGGAATTACCACAGGATCATTTTTTTTAAATAGTCAAAGATTCAACAGCAATTTAGATTTGCCCTCGCAGTTACGCCACAGCATCTTAGTGTGAAAAGTCATCTATTTTAAACTATACAAAGTTATAGAGGAATATTGGATTCTGACACTAATTTACGTTGCAGTACATTATCTTTAAGTTTCACATGCCTGATGTAAGAACGCATTATATGCTTAGTGAAGAATATTAATCAATATAATGGTTTGCAGGAAAGGTTTTTTTATAAGTGGACATTTTATTTAACAAGCATTTTTTTGAAATGAAAGAACTTCGGCAGGCAATAGTAGCAAAGTCTCAAACTCTGAACAGTTAGTGGTTCTTAGCATTCTTGCTTTCCTTCCTTTTTCCTAGGTCTCTGAAAGCCCTCTTTCTTTAGGTCTGTGAACAGACAGTTCTGTCGTCAGGGCAATATATCTCTGTCAATTTTAAAACCTACAAATGAAAGGAGCACTGTTTTCACGAAACAACAAATCTTATTTTCATTTGTCTACAAAGACAAAGTTGGGCAGTAAATCACAGGAAAGTGCAACATTCTTGCATGTAATATCAGAGTAACAAAAATGCTAAAAGTTTTTTTTCCCTTCTTAAAACCAATGTATTTGTTTCATGAGATAGTGTCGCTTTTAGATGTTATTTGCCTTTCTTCACTTCTCAATCACAAACTTTTACAGTATTTCCTGCTATTCATTTTTTTCTGTAAAGCAGCAATCTTGAATGGAATAAATTTCCCTAGTCGGTGACTAATTTGTTAATGTTCTGTTTATTTCTGTTCCCAGTGATCCCCCATTCCCTGAACGCTCTTGTTCTTTGTTTTTCACTCTTTTATCTATCAGCCGCTCATTGAATTTCACTTACCCTTTCAAAGCTTCCATTTCCTTTAAATTTTTCTCTATTTCTTCAAATCCTGCAATTAAACCATTGCTCTGGTACTCTTTTCTCTCTGTGTTTCCCATTTTGGATTTCCACAGTTTCTCCAGATTCTATAATCCTCTTATTTATTATATTCACTGTAGCTCTTCAACATATCCTTCTCACAAATGAAAGATCTCCCTTACTTTTATCTTGCCGATTCTATCTGAGTTTTATTTTCCACATTTTATGTCCCAGCTGTCTTCAGTTTCTGGTTGCATAGGCTTCCATTAGATGTTGTACAGTTTCTGTCACTCTGACCCCATCCAACTTTTTAAGGAAATACTGTATGTTAAGTTTCACAGATAGGGTAAGTCATACTTCCTGTAATTCACGTTCATGTCAAAGACTGTCAGTACAACACAACAGCATTTCTGCATTCCTTATTGACTACATTATTAATTCTAAACACACTTCAAATCCAATGCTGCCTTTTTTGTGATTCACCTTCTAAGAACGATTCTTGTGGGATAAAACCAGTTTAATGTGTCCAACAGTCTTTGAGCCAGAAGCAATTTCCTGGTTGTGTCAGTTATCAAATATCATACAGTTAACTGTCAGATTAGCGTTTCCCATTTGGGGACTGTTTTAACCAGTCTGTAGCTGAAATCTTTTTAGATTTGTAATCAAACAAAAGAAAAATTAAGAAGGTCTGGTGGTAGTGACACCAACAATGAAGAGATGTACCCATTTGGACTAATCACATGGCACACTTTACTAAGTGAAACAACAACCAGATTATGCATAATACCATTATACCATTATGTTCATACAAATGAATCCTCTTCATGTGATTCCTTGTTGATATTAAGTATGATTTGTATTATATACAAATCATGAATTTTCTAAGTTGATATTACTGTGACATTTATGAACCCCAAAATTCTAGAGTACCCAATTTTTGATTACCAATTGACTTGGCTCTCAAATACTGATTTTTTCTTACTATGAATGATTTTTCAAGAGAAACAATCAGTATGCTGAAGTTTGAATCATATTTTGAGCAGATGATATTTATGGAAATGTGCACCATAAAACTTGCTGCTCTGATATACTATTACTCCATACATTTACTTATCTACAGTGTCCACTTTTTAGTGCATTATTTTAAACCTTACTGAAGCAATATCATTTTGCAAATGCAATAATTTGTACTTTTCCCAACATTGTGATAAATTTAAGCAGGATTATATTTGACCACACGATCAGAATGCAAAAGGAATTGACATTCCTTTGCTCTGAGTTCCTACTAATTACAGAACCACAAGTTAAGGATAAAGACAAATCATGAATTTTCTAAGTTGACATTGTTGCAACATTTATGAAATTAATTTTTTTCATAAATTTTAATTTAATTGAATAATAAAAAAATAAATAATAAAATATATAATAAATTGAATTGAATATGATGTCTTAGAATTTTTTTAATTGAATGTAATGTCTTAGAAAAAAAAATTGAAAGCAGATTCCACTTTTAACCCAGAATGTTCTGGCAAGCAAGTAACTTTATGATAGTATTTAAAATGGGAGTTTTAGGACATTTTAACTCATTTTTTAAAAGACTAATTTTCAATAACAGCCTAGAAATGACTCTCCTAATTGTGTGCCCAATCTCCTATTTTTGCATATATGTATCAAAATATGTTGACATATTTTAAAGTGTTTCTGTTTCATCCCCGATCTGAATTAGTCTGAATTCTGAATATTTTCACGGTTTACCTCTTCTGGGAAAATTTCGGAACCTGAGTGGTGCAAGATCCCTTTCAGACCCTTACACGCTTCCCTGAATTTAACTAAACTCCTATCTTTTATAAACAAACTGCAAAATACTGCAGATGCTGGAAATCTGCAACAAAAACAGAAGTCGCTGGGAACACTCAGCAAGTCAGGCAGCATCTATGGAGAAGGGAAAGTGTGTCAAGGTTTCGGGTCCACGACCCTTCATCAGAACTGGGGCATGTTGGGAGGGAGAGGCTTTTAAGGACTAACGGAGAGTGGGGAGGCAGGGCAAGGAAGACAGTTTTTTTGTTTCCTATCTTTTATACCCCAATTTAGTCCATGTGACGCTTACAACCAAAAACAGAATTTAAAGGTTGGTTTATCCAATCGTATTCAAAGTTAGATTAGCTAATCATATTCCCAAACTGGTTCATCCGATCATCTTTTAACACACAGGAGACACGCCTAGGTTATCATGTTTTAACCTTAGAAGAATGTGGGAGGTTTTTCGAGGGCCAAGTAACGAGTGTGAAACGTTCAGCTTGACACTTATCTTCTTGACACCTTTTATCTTGTAGAATTATAGATATTGAGACACCAGCCTGTTTCACACCTATTGAACACATTCCCCATTTGCCCAATACTGGTGTATTGATAGCTACAACTACTACAACTTGCATTTTTGTAGAGCCCTCACACAGGGTAGCTTCACAGAGTGCACAACTCCAAGCCAGGGGTAGTGGGAGGTGACCATAGGCACAGTCGAATAGTCTTCAGGCGCAACCTGAAAATGGGGAAGGAAGGGGCAAGGCCCAAGAGTTGAGGATAAGACTCAAGAGTTGATAAAACCCAAAAATAACAAGCTCCAAGAAGAGTATCTATCTCTTAATTGACAGCATTTGAAATCCTTCATTGCGAACCCTGATTCACCTCATGATCAGCAGTGTTTCTTCATTTTAATTCTTCCTTACAGTCTTTAATTTTAATTTAACCTTTTCTTACAAATACCTGTATCAGTCAGAAGTTCCCAACATTCCCAATACTTACCTCTACCCGATATCTCCCTAAGTGCCCCTAACTTCTCTCGTTCTTTATCCTTTATCCCTACTTTTGCTCCCTGGCTAAGCAAATACTACATTAATTCATATTTTATAATACCTCTCCTTTTTCCCCCTTTTTTGCACTATTTCCCATTTTACACTACCTCACAGTTCCCAGTGCCAGTAAGCCGGCGTTTACTGTATTCTAATTTATAAAAAAAATCAAAATTATAGTTGTCCCGGTGCCAACATCTGATGGAAGACCATTAAACAATTTGTTCCCAGATGGAAGCGATTTACTACTACTTGTTTTTTGTGCAAAATAATTATAGTAGTCGCTATTCCAATTTAATTCATTATCCTTTATTTAATGAGCCTAGATCTACTGAATTGCATGGATTAGTATCAAAAGCTTTTCTAAAATCCAGGTATATAAAATTCACCATCTTGCAACTATCCACTTGCAAATGAAACTTGAATTTTATAATGCCAATATTGTCTAAACGTCTCAAAAGTACTTAAATAATTATTTTCACGACTGATGCTATTTTTATAGTGAGAAATTGGCAAAGTGTTGAATTCGGTCTAACTTTAAAGTTGTTTTTCTATAATTCTTTAAAGAAATGGCATAAAAATGGCTTCAAAATTAAGACTGTATAAAAATTTGCCAATTTCTGGATGCTTTGGAATGCTGAGTAAATATAGATCTATGTCGAATTTCCACCCAAGTAGGTGTGCAAGGTCATAGGAACACAGGGACAGGAGTAGGCCTTCAGCCCATCGGGCCTGTTCCGCCATCTAATTAGATCATGGCTGATCTAATACATTTGTAAACATATGTCCTTCTACTTCCAATGGCTGTTTCTAATTAACCGAAATGAAAATAGTTTCATGCAAGACAAACAAAAATTAAGATATTTTATTTTTTACTTGTCTTTCAGGATTATCACTGGCTTCACCATTCAATAACATCTATGATGGATTATGGAGCTATAATGCTGTTCTGGCCTGTAGTGCAATTGGAGGACTGTTTTATGCCCTCACATGGCAGACACATATCCTGGCAATAGTGTGTGGTATGTAGTTATTTTTTAAATTTGTTTTCTTCTTTACCAATATTTCTCCTGCCCAATCTCTAGAACAACAAAATTACATTTGTATAGTGCCTTTCATGTTGGCAGAACATCCCAAGGCGATGGACAATAAGTGTTTCAGACCCAAGCTGGGGGTCGGGATCGGGGATAGTGGAGGGCAGGGGGGGGAAGGAGGATGATCAAAGGCATGGTCAAAGAAGTGGGCCTTGAAGGAGGCAAGGGAGGGAGCAAGGCATTGGGACTGCGGGATGTAGTTCCAGAGGATAGGGGCAGAGTGGCTGAAAGCCCGCCCGCCAATGGTGGAACGGGTGAGGTGGAGGACATGAAACAGGCCGGAGCCTGCTGAGCGCAGGGAGCGGGCAGGTTGGTAGGGGGTTAGGAGGATGCAGAGGTAGGAGGGAGCAAGGCCGTGGAGGGCTTTGAAAGTGAGGACCAGGATCTTGAACTGTATCCTCTATGATGGGAAGCCAGTGGAGTTGGGCGAGGATGGGGGTGATAGTGTCACAAGCCTGATGCAGGAGAGGTCACAGGTTGCAGAGTTCTGGGTGATCTGCAACCTATGGAGGGAGGAGTTGGGGAGGCCGACAAGCAGGGAGTTTGCTTAGTCGAGTCTGGATGTTATGAATGCATGAATGAGGTTCTTGGTGGCCTGCAGTGTGAAACAGTGGTGGAGCCGGTTGATATTGTGGAGGTGGGGGAGGACAGAGTGGGTCATAGCACAAATGTGGGCTAGAAAGGATAGTTGAAGGTCAAACAAGATGCCAAGATTCTGGATTGGCTCAGTGAGGTGGAGTGTGCAACCTTGGATGGTGATGCTGTCAGTGCCTGAGGTGTGGAGGCGCTGGCAGGAGCCAATCAGGAGAGCCTCGGTCTTGTTGACATTCAACTGTAGAAGTTAGCTCTCATCCAGGACTTGATGTCTAACATACATTCTGTCATGACAGCAGTGGTCTTGGAGTCAAGGGTGGAGGCAGAGAGGTGTAGTTGGGTGTCATCCGCATACATGTGGAAGTTAACCCCATGTCTATGGATGATGTCATCAAGAGTGAGTATATAGATATTGAAGAGGAGGGGACCAAGGACAGAGCCCTGAGGAACACCGCACGAGACGGTGCAGGGTCTAGAGGAGAAGCCTTTTGTAGAGATGAAGTGGACAGTGTGAAAGGTAGGATCTGAACCATTCAAGGACAGAATCATGGAGGTTGAGGTGAAAGGAGAGAGTGGTCAATGGTCAATGGTATTGAAGGCAGCAGAAAGGTCAAGGAGGATGAGGAGTCAGAGGGAGCCCTGGTCGCAGATGGACAAAATGTCATTTGTCACTTTGACCAAAGCTGTTTCTGTAGCACGGAAACCCGTTTGGAGGGGTTCATGAAGGGAGTGGCAGGAGAGGAAGGAGCGAAGCTGGGAAGCAACAATTTGTTCCAGGACCTTGAAAAGGAAAGGGAGGTTGGAGATGGGGCGGTAATTTGAGAGCAGGGATGCATCCAGGGTGGGTTTTTTAAAGGATAGGAGTGATGACAGATGTTTTTAAAGGTGTGGGAATGGTGCCAGTAGACAGAGAGAGGTTTATGATGTCTGTGAGTAGAGGGGCAAGGAAATGGAGCTGGGAGGTAAGGAGAAGGGTAGGGATTGGGTCGAGGGAGCAGCTGGTCGGTTTCATGTGAATTATAATGGTGGTGAGAGAAGAGGGGGAGACAGGTTCGAAAGTGTGGAGAGAGGGGTAGACGCCAGTTTGGGAGGGGGTGATGGGGAGGGGGTGGTAGATGGAAGGGCAGAGACAGCTGAGTGGATCCCCTCGACTTTGGTTTCGAGGAAGTCCAGCATCAACTCGCAGTTAGAGGAGAGGATGGATGAGGCATGAGAGTGTGGGCAGATGAATTGGTTGGTGATGGATAAGAGGACTCTGCGATCGTCCTTGGCCTCCAAGATTGTCTTGGAGTAGAAGGATGATTTAGCAGAGGCGAGGGCAGAAGCGGTAAGTTTTGATAAGGTCCAGCCAGATCTGCTGATGGACCGTTAAATTAGATTTGAGTCAGGTGCATTCAGCAGTATACACCTGTGCCTTGAGGGAGCGGAGGTGGCTGGTGTACCAGGGTGACTTCCGTGAGCAGAAGACGGTTTGGGAAGTGAGGGTAGCAAGGGCATGGTGGAGAGGGAGTTGTGGAGGAGAGTGACCGAGGAGAATAAGTCATTGCAGGAGTGGAGGGAGCCTAGAGGGGGAGGAGTTCAGATGACTCCAAGGCAGTAGAGTGGGGGGGGGGGGGGGTTTATTCCAGGTAAGATATTGTATTAAATTTTACAGTTTATTAAAGTGTAATATCATGGGTGATAGTCAGGTCTAGACAAGACAGAAAAATGGTATTATGTGGGGTCCACAGGGAGAGTTTTTGTAGAAATGTTCATAACATGAATGGTCATTTTTGGTGCATTTAAGAAATTAATTCAAGCAACAATTACTATTTTCTCCCTTTTGTTTACTCTCTAAAATAACATGATTCACCATTTATTTGCACAAAATCTCAAATTTTGCCCACTTGGTGCACTGATTCTTCAATTGCAGTTTAATTTTTAAATTGTTCATAATGAAAATTATCCTTCTGACATCAGTCTTATTTTTCCACTTTTCTCCAAATTGCCTTCACATTTCATGTGCTTTCATCCATTTTCAATGGTGGTTTATTTAATTAGTTTTACCCATTTATTTATTATTTACAGAAAAAAATCCATATTTGATTAACCCTTTACCTGAAAAGATTTCTGATACAAAATTGCTGTCTTTCTCTTGCTACAAAAACACAATTTTCACAAAAAATACTTTAATTTCTGAAATTGCAAACTACAGGAGACCCCATTATAATGCAGCTCATCATAACGCTGGTTCGTTTATAATTTATGTGGATTGTAAACCTCAATATTTTCTTAAAATTTCAAAATCCAACATTGCGCCATCCAAATCCATTGTTTTGTTGGTGCAATGTGCGACAATGGTATTTGAAGTACAGTGATGTGTTTTGAAGCGAAACAGTGTGATTTGATACAAGCCAATGAAGTAGTGGGCAACGTGATAGAGCCCAGCTGGCTTCCAACGTACATGCACATTGGTGTGTTACCAATTACATCATCATGCAGTGACGCTGAACAATGCTGGTGGACGGCAGAGTTGATCTCAACTTACCATTGCTGCTGAAGATCAGCTGTATGAAATCTGTTTCCACTCTGCATGATCTGATGCACAAATATTGTACTCCACTTTCCAGGCAGCATTAAATGATAGAAAGTGTGTCAGAGTGTGGAGAGATGCTTATGGAATGTAGTTAGGAAGCATGGACAAGTTTTCTGAGAGAATGTACCATCAGGTGTTATGATTGTATTTTGTATGAAAATTATGTAGCTTAAAGTACCACAAAAAACACAAGCTTAATGATAGCTTTTTCTAGAGAATTATTGACACGGACAAGAGAAAAGTCGCTTTTGTTTTGAATATTATCACATGATCTTAAAAATGCCTTACAAACTTTGGTCTCTTTCACTTCTAATTCTGAGGTCAGATTTCTTGTCTCTCTCTAGCTATATCTGGTGATGCGCATTGTTACCAATTTCACCACTATCACTGCAGAAACATGAACATAAATAGGTAGTTTAACATCATATCCAAAGGAAGTACTTCTGACAACAAAGCATTCTCCAAGCACTACAGTGGAGGATTGGCCTAGACTTTGAGTCTGTGTAAACATCTTTCAACCACAACCTTCTGGTCCCAGAAAGAAGAGTGCTTAGCTCAGTTGGTAACACTCCGTAGCAGAACAAGAACGTGGAAATTTTAATAACAGAGAAACATTTTTATTAATCTGAATATCACATTTCTACTGTAATACTATATCACTCGAGCACTTGTTTCCCAGAAATGTATCTAGTTGTCTCTTACAACCTTTACTCCACTGAGCTATTCTGGGAACTCATTCCATGTGTCTGTATCATTTGTATGAACTAGTTTTGCCTGAATTATCTATTTATTCTCATTCTGTAAATTATGGTTCCTTAACTTTTGATCTAAATTGGATTTATTCAACAAAATAATCAGATTTTAATAAGAATTAATATGTTTACCAAATATGTTATTTGTTTTTCCAATAGCAATCATATCTGCTTACATTGGGAAAGCAATGGTGAACTTGCTGTCTGTGGTAAGTTAATACTGCCAATTGCCAAGATCTAGAATGTATTTGCATTGAAAATGAAAGCAGCAGTGTTCCATATAAAGTAAATCTGAATTTAAGTATCTTTTATTCCATCTTTAATTACAAAAAAGGAATTCAATTTTAAATCAATATAAGTTTATTTTGCGAATATTTTCCATCTCAAAGTTAATCAAATTTTCTGGTGAGTGTCTTAAATGTCTTAAGTTTTTTTTACGAAGCCTCTTATGCAACACCTTCTCTGTTTAACTGTTTCATGAGACCATGTGATTTCCTTTCCAGGCTGGATTACCTGCAGGGACTTGGCCGTTTTGCTTAACCACGTATGCATTTCTGCTGATGAAAACAAACAACAAAGCCATTTATAAAATGCCATTAAGTAAAGTGACATACCCAGAGGCGAACAGAAAAGTGTACAATGAAGCAAAATGAACTATATAAATGAAAAGAACCAATTAAAAATCTTAATGAAAAGTTACTGTTTTAAACTTACACAGAAAGAAATGTGTGTGCAAACATAAATATGGTAATTAGTTAACATGTCAACTACTAGGTATGATGTGCTAACACCATGTTTTAATGCAATATTGTGACACATATAAGGTCTTGTTAATTTACAGTTTAACTTATAGTTTTCTAGATGGTAACAACTTAAACACTACTCTATTCTAATATAATGCTATTGATAAAAATAGAATTAGATCAGTTAATTAATTTTCAGTTATAGGCCATCAGTTGTTCAGATTGAAAACGTGAAAGGCACTATGTATGGTCAATGCAAAGTTGCTCTTATTGTGGTAAAAACAATATTCTGTGCCTTAACTAATTGACTGATGAAAGTGTACCAAAATCTGTTTGATTTCATTGTGTATTTAAAACAATCTTCTGACAACATAGGTATTAATAATGCAGGATGCTATATCTCTTCAGTATTGTTATTCAATATTTTCTCCAAGCACTACAGTGGAGGATTGGCACCACTATCCAATAGCTGGGTTAAAAAAGTTTAATTGAACAATTAATTTAATTCAAAACAGTTAATTTTATTTAATTTAATTAAAAACATTTGTTGTGTCCAGTGAATATAGTATATATAGAGATATTACTCTTAGGCAGATGGGATTCTGGTTTAACGTCTCATCCGAAGGACGGCACCTCCAACATGCAATACACCCCAGCACAACACTGGGGTTTCATCGTAGACTATGCGATTCCAAGTCCCTATGTGGGGCTTGAACCTTTTGCCTCAGAGGCAAGAGTGCTACCATTGAGCCAAGCTGACACACAAAGGAAATTTCCAAGCATAAGTGGCATGCATATGTGTCTGGTTTGGATATTCTTAACCATGATGAAGTGTTATCACATGAGTCATTAAACTCAGTTGTGTCAGGCTGGCTCAGTTGGTAGCACTCTTGCCTCTGAGACAGAAGGTTATGGGTTCAAGCCCCATGTCAAGACTCATTTAGTCTAAACTGACACTCCAATGCAGTGCTGTGGGTGTGCGGCATTGTCATAAATACTATCCATAGGATGAGGCATTACAGCACCACTAGAAAAGAGAACGGAGTTTCTCCTGGTTTCCTGGTCAACAATCCCCTGAATAAACTTGGTCACTCATTTCATGGCTGTTTGTGAGAATATGCTGAGCACAAAATTGGCTGCCACATTCACCTACAGGATATTTACAATACATCCTGTGAAGAGCTTTGTGATGTCCTCCTGATGTGAAATGTTGTGTATTAAATAATAATTATTGTTTATAATGAATCTACAGCCACACAGATCTCACCATCTCAGTATTGGTTCAGGAAATAACGATTTAACTCAGCTTTTATGTACAAGTTGATGTACGTTTTTACATATTCAGTTTAAGATAGATTGATCTTCATCCATACCCACTAATTATTTGATTTTATAATCTGTGGTAGTATTCTAACAATGTCTTTATGCTTTGTATGCATGAATGATTTTGTATTTCTTATTGTTAGGATTATGGTTGATACTCTAACTGAATTAAAGGCTTAACATCTTGTATGACTGTTATAATGCACCTTTAATAATTTTAATCTGAAGTATTGTTATTTTTGTAGCAAAAATATATCTCTCCATTACAAACCGGGATTCTAGAAGTTTTTCAATCATAGGGTTAATTCATCCCACTAATATTTATTTATCCATTGGACACAGTAGTTTAATTGTATTATTAGGGTGATAAATGACGTCAATTGAACAAGGTTAATTTGCCCCCTGTCTAGGAGATCAGATAACATTGTACATTTGACTCATTGTTTCTCACTACAATCCTGGAAACATTCCCAGAATGCGGAGCCTTGACTTTCAGCACTATTCGCAATCTCTCGTTGAGTGAGAGGCTTGTGAGAGCTTTAAAGAAGTTTGAAGTATAGAGTCATTGTGACTCACTCCAGAGAGACAATCTCCATATAATTCCTGAATTTGCAAAGTCAGAGTCCAAATTCCCGAAGAAGCTTTCGAACTAATTGCATAGGATCAATGTAACTTAATGAGGTAGCACTATTTAATGAACTCAATTATATAGATCTGATCAGTATAATATTAAGCTGTAACCATAGTACCTATATCCAATCTGAAAGACATTGCTGAGACTAAAATGACAACTTCCATGTGACTATAATATAATAATAATACTTGCATTTGATATAGCGCTTCTCACGTCTTCTCGACATCTCAAAGCGCTTCACAGAATAGACTGTAAAGTGAATTGACCGTATATTTGTGGGCAAAACGCGGAAGCCAATTGCGCACAGCAGTGTCCCACAAACAGTGGTGGATTGAAAGTGACCAATTTATTATTGTTTTGTTTTGGAGGGATTATTATTAGGCGTGTGGAGTCAGGAAACTTATAATAATTATTATTATTATTAAGGAAACTTGCCCAAGGTTTCGCCCTCTGCCTGGAATTGAACCCAAGTGTCTCGCTTACAAAGCGAGTGCTCTAACCACTGAGCTGCAGGACTATGTTTCTCATCCATTCACAAAAGACATTTGTATCATCACATCCAACATGCAATTGCTACCAAGATATTGCAACAGTCTCAGAACTACACCTGTAGGCTCTGGAATCACATTGTGGGCTTTATTATCACTGCTATACATACAGAACACATTGTAATGATCCACCTCTATAAGATTATAGTCAAACCTGTTTTCAGCAACCGCTCGGGACTGGATCAAAGTGGCCTTTATGGAAGGGTGGCCTCTGAGTAAGGGTTTGTTGGTGCTTTGATTGTATCCAAAACATTTTTTTTTAATTCCGTGGGCCCACGTGTAGATTCCTGCTGGTGAGGTGGGAAGCCGTGGGCATCATATGGACTGCTCAAGGCAGCGTTGGTAATGTGCTACAGGTCTAGCGGGAGTCTACACGTAGCCTGTAGAATTTGATGCTGCATTAGGGTTAAGTACACTTAAATTCACTTAGAACGGGACGCTATAAAGGGTGTCTGTACACCGACAGGGTTAAAACAGGGTGGTCACTGGTTGTGTTGGACAGGTGGTTCCTAAATGGAGGTAATTTATTATGGAAAATCAGTCGGGACTGTTGCGTGGTGGTTGTGGCCAGGATGTGGCTTCTGAAGTGAGACGGTGCTTTAATAAGTTTCACTGTATATTAGTTTTCATTTGTAGAGTGTAAAATGTTGCATTAAAGTCAATAGGTTATGAGTTGGGCCAATAGAAAAGTACAGCCGCAATTTTTCTGCGGAATTCGCTAAAAACACCCTCTCCGCTACACCCCCCCCCACTACACACATATCCCTCCGCCACACACACACCCTCCGCTACACACACCCTCCGCTACATTCCTCCACTACACCCCCTCTCTGCTACACCGCCCCCTCCACTACACATGCGCCCCCTCCACTACACGCGCAACACCCTCCACTGCACTTGTGCCCTCTCTGCTGCGCGCGCCCCACTCTGCTGCGTGCGCGCCCCCCTCCACTGCCCACACACCCTCTGCTACACACACATCTCTGTTACACTCCTCCACTACACGCCCCCTTGGTTACACCGCCCCCTCCGCTACACACACCTCCTCCGCTACACAAACACGCCCTCCGCTACACACACAACCCCACCACTATACACGCACTCCTCCAATACACACGCACCCTCTCTGCTGCACGCATGCTCCTTCCGCTGCGCGAGTGCCCCCATCCTCTGCACGCGCACCCACCCCCTACACTGCGCGCGCTCACTGCCCCTCCAGTGCGCGCGCGCCCACCCTGCACTGCTGTGCATGCCCAGCCCCCTCCACTGCGCATTCCTACAACCCTACGCATCCACCCCCCTCTGCTGCACACTCCCACACTCCTCCATCGTGCGCCCACACCCCCTCTGTTGTGCACTGGTACCCGCCTCTGTTGTGCGTGCACCCACTTCCGCTACACACACATACACCCTCCGCTACACACACACTCCCTCCCCTACACACACACACCCTCTGCTAAACACACACACCCTCCGCTACACACATACCCTCTCCACACACCCTGCACTACACACCCTCCTCTGCACACCCTCCGCTACACACACGCCCTCCCCTATACACACACACCCTCCGCTACACACACGCCCTCCCCTATACACACACGCCCTCCGCTACACACACGCCCTCCCCTATACACACACACCCTCCGCTACACACACGCCCTCCCCTATACACACACACCCTCTGCTACACACACGCCCCCCTGCGCTACACCCCCCCCTCCCCTACACACACCCCCTGCGCTACACCCCCCCCTCCCCTACACACACCCCCTGCCGCTACACACCCCCACTCCCCTACACACCCCCACTCCCCTACACACCCCCCCTCCCCTACACACACCCCCTCCTCTACACACACCCCCAGCGCTGCACACACCTCCTGCGCTACAGACACACACCCTCCCCTACACACAAACCCTCTGCTACTCCCCCCCCCCCCCCCACACCCGTATACACTACGCACATGTACAAACACAGTGAGCTCCGGGTCCGGGGCCCCTCACACTGTTTACTTGATGTCACTGAGTCTGTCTCTGTCTGTCTGTGTGTCTCTGTATGTGTGTGAATGTGTGTCTCTGTCTGTGAGTGTGTGTATCTGTGTGTGTGCGTCTCTCTGTCTGTGAGTGTGTGTCTGTATGTGTGTATGTCTCTGTCTGTCTGTATGTGTGTACGTCTGTCTGTCTGTGAATGTGTGTCTCACTGTGAGTGTGTGTCTCTCTCTCTGTCTGTCTGTGTGTGTGTATCTCTGTCTCTGAGTGTGTGTCTCTTGGTCTGTGAGTATGTGTGTCTCTGTCCGTGAGTGTCTGTCTGTCTGTCTGTCTGTGTCTGTGAGTGTCTCTAAATGAGTGTCTCTCTGTCTGAGTGTGCGTCTCTCTGTGAGTGTGTGTGTCTCTGTCTGTCTCTCTGTGAGTGAGTGTGTCTCTGTCTGTCTGTCTTTCTGTGAGTGTGTGGCTCTAAGGCTGTCAATCACCTCGGAGCCGCCGCTAATTGGTCCCCTTCCTATGCAACGAGAATAATAATAATAATCCTTGCATATAGTGCTTTTCACGTCGGGAGGACGTCCCAAAGCGCTTCACAGAACACACTGTAAAGTGAATTGACTGTATATTTGTGGGCGAACGCAGCAGCCAATTGCGCACAGCAATGTCCCACAAACAGTCGTAGATTGAAAATGTCCAATTTATTATTGTTTTTTTTGGAGGGATTATTATCAGGCTCTGTGTGGAGTAAGGAAACTTGCCCAAGGTTTCGCCCTCTGCCTGGAATTGAACTCAGGTCTCTCATTTGCAAAGCGAGTGCTCTAACGACTGAGCTACAGGACTCCACGAGTGGCAATGGGATGGAGGAAGCCTGCTGTCGCTCCTCTGAAGTAAGAGAACTTTGGCTT